CAATTATAAGGATCAGAATGTAGAGTTGACAGCACTGGACTATACACCACGTTGAAAGATAAGACAGTGGGGGCACAGATGCCAACATTGACCATATATTTCATAATTCTCAACAAAGATATTCTCCATTAAGAAGGAAAGGCTTTATGAGAGTCATATCACAGAATCCCTACAATGTGGAAACAGGCCCTTTGGCCCAACAAGTCCACACCAACCCTCAGAGCATCCCACCCAGAACCATTCCCCTATAACCCACCTAATCTACACATCCCTGAACACTATGGGCAATTTAGCATGGCCAATCCACCTAGCCTGCATATCTTTGGACTGTAGGAGGAAACCAGGGCACCCGGAGGAAACCCACGCAGACACGGGGAGAATATGCAAACTCCACACAGACAGTCAGCCAAGGGTGGAATCAAACCTGGGTCCCTGGTGCTGTGAGGCAGCAGTACTAACCGCTGAGCCACCATGCCGCTCCCAACCACTGTGCCTCCCCCAGAGAAGATGTACCATGCTTGGCAAAGAAAAGAATTTAAGGATGGTATCAAATTGGAAAAGATGTATAATGTTGTAAAGATTAATGGTAGGACAAAGATTGGGAAATTTTTAGTAACTAGCAAAAGATAACTTACAAAAAAAGGGGGGGATTGATTATGAAAGTTAACTCGCAAGAAATTTGAAAACAGACAGTAAAATCTTCTGTAAGTATATGAAATATTAGTACAAAATAAGGGAATGTTAATGATCATCTTAACAGTAGAAGACAGCAAAAGTAACAGAAGAATAGCAGCAAATCTAAGTGGCGAAAGGGACAGAGGCAGGAACTTAAAACAACTATGATCACTGGAAAAAGAAGTATAGGAAAACATACGGACCAATAGTTGATATACCCCTTAGACAAGATGGCCTGCACGCTAAAGCCTTAAAAAAAAACTGCAGATATGATGGATGTATTATCTACAATCTTCCAAAATCTCCTAGATCCTGGAAAATATGCAGCAGATTGTAAAACCCCAATATAACACATTGATTCAGGAAAAGAGGAAGACAAAAAGCAAAAACGGTCAGTTAGTCTAACACTTGCCATTGGGAAAGTGGTAGAATCCGATGTTAAGGAGGTAGTAACGTGACATTTAGAAAATCATTAGTTAGGCAAAATCAATGTGGTTTGTGAAAGGCAAACCATGTTTGTTAAATTTATTTGCGTTCTCCAGGTAGTAAGCAGGACAAATGAAACAGTGACAGTAGATTTACTGTATTTGATTTCCAAAAGCATTCAATTATTTGCCATATAAAATATAATTGCACAGGATAAACAACTTATGGTGTTGGAGTTTATATGCTAGTGTGGACAGAAGATTAGCTAACTAATATGAAGTAGTGAGTTAGAATAAATGGTTCATTCTCAGCTTGGTAAACCATAACAAGTGGAATGTCACAGGGGTCAGTGCTGGTCCTACATTAATATAAATCGTACATTTTTAAGTTGGAATGAAGGGATAGACTACTATAGACAAATTTTATGACAATAGAGATAAACAGGAGAGCAAGATGATACAAAAGCTAGATGGGAAGGGAAACTGTCTGTATGATACAAAGACTTGACAGAAATATAGACAGGCTAAGTGAGTGGAAAAAAAACTTCAGAGATGGAATATAATGGGGGAAAGATAAAGATATTCACCTTTGGCGATAAGAATAGGAAATCAGAATATCATTTGAAAAGGTGCTCCAGAATACTGTGGTGGAGAGGGATCTGTGTGTCCTTGCATGCGAATCATAAATGTTAGCATGCAAGGATTACAAGTAATTAGGAAAGGAAATAAAATGTGCACCTTTATTTCAAGGAAGATGGAGTATAAAAGTGAGAAACGTGGCTACAACTATGCCGGGAATTGGTAAGCGTGCACAGCTTTGGTCTCCTTACCTCAAGAAGGGTATACTTATAATCAGGATGGTTCAGAGAAAATTGATAAAGCTGAGCTCTGGCGTGAAAGGGGTTATCTTATGAGGAAATGTTGAGCAGGTTTGGCCCATTGAAGTTTAGAACTGTTCCCTGCAAATGATTTACGTATTCTATGTTGGTCCAATAAACATGTATGAATCGAGTTATGTGAATTAGGTCCTGCGATCATGGTGTGGAATAAGAACTGCTGGAAATAAAGACCAGGGCTAATATATCTTTGGAGTGAAAAAGAGTCCTTCCTGTGACTTTCTATTAGAACGAAGCTAAAACATTACCATCGTTTTTCTCTCTGTACATACTTCCAGTATTTCCAGTATTTAATTTTTATGTTATATTTCCAATATCTGCAATATTTTGTTTTTCTGTTAGTGTCTAAGATTGGCTTGGACTGCTTGGTTTATTACCACCTGAAAATTTTATATGTTTCTAAGTACATATTACACATACAAATTATAATAATACAATTCTAGTTTAAGTAATTAGGTTTTCTTTTGAAAATGTATACAGCAGCATTGTGGCAGAAATAACTATACTGCCTCAAGGGTGAAGAAAACAGATACCTAGCTCTCAAAGCTTTTGGTATGAGATATTATATGTATTACAATGAATAATCCATTACAAGGAGGAATACATCACAATCTTTACGTCTGCCAATGATATTGTATCTTGATGGCTCATTATCCATTCAGCAATTAAATTCATTACCAAATTATATATAAATTCTCTGATGAGGGTCTTATGGCGCAACTGCAGCAAACTTACCTCTGAGCTGGAAATCCAGGTTTAAGTCCCACCTACTCTAGAAGTGTGTAATAAGATCTCTGAGCAGGTTGATTAGAAAATATCAATAAAATTTCTATGCCAGAATTTGAGAAGTGGTTATTTGGCAAATGAGGTCTCTTTCTCACAGCAGGTTTACAAATGACATACCTCATTCTTCACAGCTTTAGGTTCTTAAATATTATATACAATATAAATTAACGAAAAAAGTCTTATTGGAACAATTCCTTTACTCTTGGCACATTTCTCCTTTGAGACTTTTGTCAATAAGAAGCTCTCTTACACAGCTGCAGCACAGCTTGCCAACACCCAACATTAGTCCATACAAAAAAAGTTATAAGCAACATCATAATTTTCTGAAACTTAATTTAGGTTAGAACAGTGAAAGCAAATTATTAAAGCTAAAGTGTACTCCAATGATGATGACAACAATTTCTCCAAGTCTAAAATCAAAAGTATTCTTTGATCATTTTGGCTTTGTTTCCCTCATTTGTGTCTGCAATAAATGCTATTGATAGAAACAATATTGTGGGTTACATTTCATCTGTTTGTCACAGCTCACCTGAGTATAATATGCAGGCCAACTCTTATACACAGCAGGCAAGTCCATAACATGAGAACTGGCCTAAAAAGGAATTAGTATTTAAATAGACCAGTTCTTAGAGTTAATATTTTAATCTCCTCTCATCTGTCCGATAATGAAACTCTAAAATTCTCATTGCAATATTCACATAATTGTTTCATTAGTTTACACAAGAAAAACATGCAGTATCCTTGAATGCTCTCCAACCACATTGCTCACCATGGTGAAAGCAATGAACTGTTAGGGAGGTTTCATTTGTGTGTGATGTATCAAGTCATTAAAACAACAATGCTCAATGGGAAATGAGAAGGCTTCCCTGCATGAGTCCATAACACCTATCCTTGCAATGTGTAATACCCCAATGACCAGAATACCTTTTGAAATCTTAAAATGATATTAGAAAGATTCAGTAGGATGGAAAAGGACACACAATATAATTGTGTAATAAAGAAATAAAAGGTATAAAAGTAATGTTATGAGGTACTGAGACATGCGGAATATTATAGGGGCCTCAGCGATGTGGGCCATGCTGAGATTTTTGGCAGAATCACGTGAGAAATCCCAGCAAGTCCTATTTCATCATCGAGAACAACTCGCTGTATCTTTTATGCATTTTCAGAGTGGTGAGGTGATTTTCTCACTAGGCAGCAGCAAGATGCCAGTCAAGGGGATTATAGATTATGAAATGTCTTATTTGTGTCATTATTTACTCAATAATATTCCCACTTTACCAAATGCACTGAACAAGTTTTACATCCTGACATGGAAATCAGAGCCAGTACCTGGCAATTTCAGCTCTGCAAGGACTTCCATGTTGTACATAAGGCACCAACATCTCAGAACATGCCAAATAGACACCAGCCACATGCACATTGGTATCTGAAATTTTCCAGCCTCTACAAATTTTCAATGAAGATCTCTGATCCATTTATAGTACAGATGCATTTATAGTTCTGCACTTCAATGCTGTCTGTCAGAATGCAAAGGAACTGTCATTGTAATGCTGTTGCAAGGGTAGTTACACTCAGGGAGATGCATCCACTTCATGAACTGGCCTGGACCACACCTCCGGCCTGTTCACTTGCTCTCATAGCACTCACTCACTCTGAGCCTACCTGAAGGCTCACAGCGTCACATTTGCACTTTGCACATTTCCCCCTCAGCCAGAGATACCAGGCCAATTGTACTACAGTACTGTTTGGTACAGACACAAAGCCAGGAAGCTTGTCTTGGTGGTCAGCAGCCCTCAGTCAATTCAAGGGAAATAGCATTTGCTCAGGGGGTCCCAGCAAAATAAGTCAAACACTGCCTTCTTAACCAGTCCAGGGCTTGGACAGGGTCAGTGAGCAGCTTGGGATGGTCACTGTCAGGATGCTCTCCACATTCGGGGTGAGGAGCTAAAACACAGGCAGCCATCTACTTATCTTGATTCTTTCAAGAGAGACAGGCAATTATTAAGGGCAATGAAAGTGGGCAGTACCACTGTTATTTTTGGTGGAGGTGAGCAGGTCTCCCAAGTGAGTGAGTAGGCAGCCAAGTGGGCATGCAGGGTTAGTGGTGTCAGAGGTTGGGTGGATGAAAGCGAGGTGAGGGAAGACATTGCAGGCAATAGTGAGAATGATACAGAATGAGCTTTGGGGGAAAGTGGTTGCGGTAACAGAGAAAGACTGAGTGTGAGGTAGTAAAGAGAAGAGCATGGTACTTGCCCTGGCAGAGTGGAGAAGGACATTGACCTTCTTCCTACATTACTGTGCAATCATCCAGATGGCTGAGGTGTCAATGACCTGATTTTCAACGGTTCTGGTGTCATAGCCTCCAGTGCTGGTGTTGGGTGATGACAACATCCTGTCCGTGCACCACTACGTTACCTCTAGGTCCTTGTCCCCAAAGCCAGGTGATAAACATCTGTTGTCTACCATGTGCAGAACAAATGTCAGGAACTGTAAAAGGCAGCTCTGGATTGTCTGGGAACACAATGGACTTTTAAATGGTGCCAGTGCCAAAGAGTTGCACAATTCTGGGATGTCCACTGCATGTTGTTCTTGGAAAAGAGACATGGCAGATGAAAAGGGAGACCATGAGATAGGGTAGGTTGTTGATGAGGCAAGTTTGGTACGATAGTGATAAAACCTGCTAAGCCTCCAAAAAGCTCAACACAACTTGCACTCATCCAAAAAAGGATAAGATTCAGCCCATGTATTCACAACACGGTCCGTAATTTGAAGCACGCAGTACACTTCCTATCTAATCAGGTCCAGAATCTTCTATAAAATAATAAATTATCCAAAGTTATACATTTAGAACTGTTAACTGTATCAATTACTTTAAATGAAGATTAAATTTAAATATCACATTTGTAAATAACCCACAAATTAATCACATAAATTATTGAATTTCATGGGAATAGTTTCAATCAGAAAGTTGATTATTTTACTCAAGTTAACGAGAATGCAGATATTCTCATTGCCGCAATGGCAAATAATATTATACTTTTACTTAAATGAAAAATTACATTTTAAGATTGTCTAACATTATAACTGCAGGAAGCCAATTATATAATCCCCAGGTCATCAATGGGGAAGTTCTACAGAGTAGATATTTTCTAAGTCAACATGTTTAGAGCTGTTATTATACACCTCTGAAGCAGGTGAGACTTGAACCTGGGTCTCCTGGCTCAGAAGTTGGGATACTACCACAGCACCACAAGGCATCCCTAGTTCCTTAGAATAGCTATTTTTCAAATTAGCTGTTCAGATGGCACAGTTCTGAAGCAAGTTAGACTCTGGCTATGCAGCAAGAACATTACCACTGCATTACAGGAACCCCTTAGTTCCTTGGCTAGTACACTAGACTTAACCATCTTCACCTGCTTCCTCTATGACCTGATCTCTCTCATAAGGTCAGAAAGGGGATGTTTACTGATGTTTGAATAGTGTTCACTGCAATTCATGACTCTTCAGAGGCTGAAGCGGTCCTTTCTCACATGTAACAAGAACTGGACCATATTCAGACATGGGATGATAGATGCTGAGTTACATTTATACCATGTAAATGTCAGGGCAATGATGATTTCCAAAGAGAGAATCTAACCATTGACATTCGACATTCAATGGCAGTGCCATTGTTGAATTCCCACCATCAACGTCTTGACAGCTACCATCAATCAGAAATTTATTTAGACCAGCCATTTAAATACTGGCATTATAAGAGCTAATCAAAGGTTGTGAACACTGCAGCAAGTAACTCAACTTCTGAATTCCCAAAGCCTGGTCACCATCTACAAGGCACAAATCAGAAGTGTGATAGAATACTGTCCAATTGCTTGGACAGGTGCAGTTCCAACAACACTCGAGGAGCTCGATACCATCCAGGACAAAGTAGTCCATGTGATTTAGTAGAATGGTTCCAGGTAGGAAAAACTGCATCTATGTGGATAGATTGAAAAAGGTGGGACCATTCTCCCTGGACAGAAGAAGGCCGAGAGGAGATTTCATTAAGATTTTCAAAACCATGAGCAAGCTGGCCAGAATAGATAGGGTAAAACTGTTTCCAGTTGCAAACGAAACAAGAACAAGAGGGCATAGGTTCACAGTGATGCGCAAACGAAGCAAGAGTGATGTGAGAAAAAATATTTTCACACTGTGTTGTTAGGGTATGGAATGCTCTGCATAGAAATGTGACAGAGGCAATTCAGTTGAGGCATTCAAGAGGCATTGAATGATTTTTTAGATAGTAATGGTGGGCAGGGATATGCGCAAAAGACAGGAGACTAGCACTAGATAACACTCAGACTGGGTAATAGAACTGGTGCAAGCACAATAAGCTGAATGGCCGCTGCACCCCAATAATTGTGATTCTGTGAGATGCATGAGGTACCATTACCTTCAAGTTCCTCTCCAAGCCCCACATACCATCCTGACTTGGAACTACATCATCATTCTTTTACTGTTGTTGGAACATCACCTTGACAACAACACTCGGTGCATCTACACCACATGGTTTACAAGGTGGCAGCTCATCGACACCTTCTCAAGGGCAATTCAGGATGGGTACTAATTGTTGGCATTGGCAGTGATGCTCATATCCAATAAAAGAACTAAGAAAAATTATGATTCACGTTTTATGTGTTTTTATGTGTTTTATGTCAGCATATGCAGGAGATCTCAAATTAATGAATGTCAAACTTATGTACTTATGCAGGAGTGTATTTTTAAATATCTGACATATGCACATTTTCTTCACTTATGAATGGCCATTTTACATGGTGCTGCATTGTGTCCTAACTTGCAGATAAACTGACTAGCGAACAGAGATGCGAACAGACTCGTTTGCAGCCTGGGGACTACCTGTAGTTCCATCTATACTCATGATGCACAGCAGACCTCTCAAAATGCACCACATATTCTCCATTTGCTGATGGTCTGGATACAATAGAATCAATTTGGGTACAATACTACAGTTGAGTCCAAATCATAATTTTCTTATTTTGGTAGTCTATGCCTCTATTTATGAACCCTTGGAAAAGAGATAGGACAGACTCATGTTGTAGCAGTGAGTATCCTGACAGTGGGAATGGAAGTGCAAAGGACTGGGATGGCTGGCACATGCAGCAGCTACCCAATACACTATCCACAATTGAGCAGCAAGACCAATTCTGCAGTGGGTGGACAGGAGGTCATTGACCTTACCATTGCCTGATGGTGGTCAAAGGTTTGGATGCCATATTAAATCAGTGTTAGGGGATCTAATCTCTACATAACATTATCTTCATTCTGCCTACCCAAACAGAGAAAATTGAACTTGAACTGTTGCCAACTCCTCCCTTCTTGCCACACTTGAATTCCCAAAGCTGTAATCTATCATCCTTCACCCTTCCTCAGTCACCTTTAACCATCCTGTCATTATCTTTGACCCTCCATTCTTCATCTTGGTCCTGCCTTGTGACCTGCAAACAAACCGCCAATACCCTTGACAAATGTCCGTCAACCTAGAGTTGCCTCTACCTAGTTGCCTCCAGTGTCCTGGATCTGTTTTGCAGCAACCTTGATGTGCCACCATCAGCCTTGACCCTTCCTCTATCGCACTTGACTCTTCTATCCTCACTATTTTCCTGCCCCCAATCATCTTCAATCTTTCCTCCTTCATGCCTGAGTAGCCTTCAGCAGATATTGCCCTTCCCTCTGTTGTTCAACTCCCCTGATTTGTCTCCACAACTTTCCTTAGGCCCATCGCGCTTTCCTGGACAATAATTCCTCACCCTCCCAAATAGCCACCATCTAAGCTCAATGCAACAGCTCCCCTTTCTCTAGCCTGGTACAACAAAATTCATCATATGTGAAAAGTAGCTCCTCCTCACTCAAAATCCACCAAGAAGCCACCTCACCTTCTGAAGCCACCTTTAATCAATTGGGAAGACAATAAAGGAGGAAGAAATGAAGGATATCTTGATGCAGTTAAATAAACATGGTCTGTGTACAGTACAGAAAAGAAAATCCATGGATCAATGAGGCTTCTGTAATTTAAATATTTTGCTACACCAGGGTCTCTTGACTCAATGAAAATCTGGCTATGTTTTCAAGCCTGCTCAAGTCTTATTCTATTAGAATGTAGAAACAGAAGCAGGGCATTCAAACCTAGAAGCTGCTCAACCATTAGTTTTTTCTAAAAAAAGAGTAATACTGTAAAGTTTTTATTATCTGGCACCCAAATGACCAGGACTGTACTAGTTGATCAAATATTCTGGATAATGAAGAGGTCCGTATAATCAATGTAAAAACATACACTAAAAATAGAAACATAATGCAAGGGGTATACACATCACAATTATACTTTATTTACAGCATAAATCACTTAAATAACAATGCAACTTTGCCTTAAATAAAACTTACCAGAAGAGAGCTTTCTCACTCACACCCTCAACTGATTACTCAGATATTGCACGATTTGAGGAGAAATTAGTGCAAAATTGAATCAACTGTTGTTATTTCATGTAGCCATTCAACTTAATAACAAGTATATTTATATTAAGGTAAATAAATTTAGAAAATTACGATAATTGGACAAAATAACACCGTAAACTTCGCAGTATTTGAGGTTTATAATTTTTGCTGGTTTATGAAAAGTGCCAGTTCATAAGCTGTTGAGTAAAATAGAGATCGCTGTATTTTGATGGGATTTGGGCATTACTGTTAAGGCAAGCATTTGTTGCCAGCAATTAGTTGCCCTTTAACGGAATGGCTTGCTACGTTAGTCCACATTTCTATGGATCCAGAGCCAAGTATTCTAGGCCAGATATCATTCCCTATAAGACATCAGGGAACAAGATGGATGCTGACGACAATTGATGATAATTTCATACTCACAATTATTGAGGCTAGCTTCCAATTTCAAATTTTACTTATTGAATTTAAATTCCAACAGCTGTCATGTTATTCGTCTGGACCTCTGAGTTACTTATCTATTGACATTATCACCACCCAAAATTAGATCAAAATTAATATCTGAATAAGAGCATGACTAATATACACCATTTGCCACTCCATTTGCTACCCTAGTTCCATATCCCACAACTAACAAAAGGTAATTCCTAAAAATCCACAGGATTTCTACTTCACACTTAATCTTTAAGTTGTATTTGAGGGAAGTGATATCCTAATTGTTATATTTTTCACTCTAGATCCTCAGCCTGCTGTAGAGACCTCCTGGATTCTCATGGATAATGTGAAGACTTGGACAGCAATGTGTAATTACAGTTCTCTGTTTAAAAGCCTTATCCCAATGTTTTCATGGATCTACAAAACCAACAATTTCCTGAAAATCTAAAATAATGTTTTCACTGGGGGTGTAGACACCAGAAAGACAACTCAACATTTACTGTCGATTGTACTCCTTTTGTATAAAAGATCTTTGAGGCAAAAAAATGTGGTCCACTTCTGAATGACCTATGAAGTGGCTTATTTAATTTTGCATGCAAGTTTAAGCAGTCTGAATGGCTTAATCTAATGTCTCAGTTCTTAGGTTGTTAATTAATTGTGCCTGAACAACATGACATTTGTCTTCAGTGTGGCTTACAAAAGAGAACAGACCTCCTTCAGTAACAGTTTCCAGAGGCCGTCACTTGCTCTAAGATTTGGTTGTTGTAGTAGTTGGACAGACTATTGTATCTTGTGAGTTTGAAAAGTGTAAGGCACATTGTTTCTAAATTACATTCAATAAAACATGCATAAGTTCATTCTAGTCAGTGATACAATGAAAGCATAAAATATTAAAATATTGAACCTTCTTTTGACCATTAGCAAAAAAAATTACAATCCAGAACTTAGCTTCATATACAGAATGCAAAACTGTAATAATTCAATAGATTGAGTTGAAATATATGCTATATTAATACTTGCAAAAATAATCAGCAGGGAGAACTTAATGGTCTATTTGACTGGGATGAATTGTACATGAATTATATAATGACGGGCTGTGGAAGTGTTACTTAATAGCTGTGTAGAAATCAATGTTAAGGTTCAGGGAAGCCTTTTAACCACAAGTTCTGATATTATCAAAACCGTACATTCATTTCATTAAAAATATCAAAGAAAGCATGAAGAGTAGAACCTACGCATGCAATCAGAAATATTCAGCTTGGAACTCTACTTTCATGAGTTTAGAATGAAAAGTCATTACAATGAATAGGGAAAAATAAACTTCAAGATGTATAATCGTACACAATCAAAGTTAAGTACACATAAGTGTTGTCAAACAGAGAGACCTAGGGGTTCAAGTGCACAGTTCATTGAAAGTTGCTTCACAGGTTGACAGGGTGGTAAAGAAGGCATTTGACATGCTTGCTTTCATTGCTCAGACCATTGAGTAAAGGAGTTGGGACATCATGTTGCAGTTGTATAAGTTGTTGTTGAAGCCGCGTTTGGAGTGCTGTGTACAGTTGTGATCAGACAAACAGGAGGCTGGAAGAATGCAGCAAGCCAGGCAGCATCTGGAGGAAAGGAGAAGGCAACATTTCGGGTGTTATCCTTCTTCAGGACTGGATATGGGGGTAGGGGGAGCTGCAGATAAAGACACAGGGGGAGTGGGGGGAGGGTTAGCAGAATGGTGGTGATAGGTGGACACTGGTAGTAGGTATTACCTGGTTGGTCGATGGGAGGAATGAATCTGGTTGGTGGCTGGAAGGGAGGGTCAGAAGTTGGATTGGAAGGGAGGAGGTGGGGCTGGAAAGGGACCCAGGGAATGGGTGGGAAGGTTATTTGAAATTGGAGAACTCAACGTTGAGTCCTCCAGGTTGTAGGGTGCCCAAGAGGAAGGTAAGGCATTGTTCTTCAAATCTACGTTGAGTCACTGCAATACTGGAGGAGGCTGAGGACGGACATGTCGGAGGAGTTGGGGGTGGGGAGTTGAAATGGGTGGTGACTGGAATGGTAGGCTGGCTTATAGTGGTTTATAAAATCATGACAGGCATAGATACGGTGAATAGCAAAGGTAGGGTAGAAGAGTTCAAAACCAGAGAGCATAACTTTAAGGTGAGAGGAGGAAGATTTAAAAGAGATCTGAGAGGCAACTTTTTCACAGGACGATGTTTCGTATGTGGATCGCCAGAGGAAGTGGTAGATGCAGGTACAGTTACAACATTTAAAAGATATTCGGACAGGTATATGAACAGGAAAGGTTTAGAAGGATATGGATGCTAAAATGTCACAAGTAAAGTTAATCTTTGATATTATTCTACTCTACAAAAATCCAGTTTAGGAGGTTTTATGGCTCAATGGATAATCCCCTGCCTCAGAGTTCAGGGTTCAAGCCCCCTCCAGGGTGCATTTGTTTCACAAATTATCTTAAAAATTCCATTAAATCAAATGTTCAGTTGACAGCATGTGGTATTACCCTGCTAAAAGAACTGTTGTTGGTGCCAATTTGGTTACCAAAGGCCATTTCATCTAATTTTGGCTTTAAGTATAGAGTCAGTTTCCTCATTCTGGCTTTGAATCTCATTGGAAGTCTGCAACCAATATTTCCACAGGAACTATTCCAGATGAAAGAAGGTCCAAAATTTCATGTAACGTATGTTTGGACAGAACTGAGTGATAGACTGTTCTGATCAGGATTCCTCTCTGGCTACATCCTTTGTTCAACTGCACAGGTGCCTATTCACCTCAGTTTTCTTGTTTGAAATCAAAGGGTAAAGTTGTCATCATCCCAGAGAACCAGAGGCCTGCTCTCTCATTAGAGAGTGATGACTGGTGGTGAGTTTAATCTGAGGATCGTCACGTCTCAGGTGAGGGGCAAGGTTGAGAAAATGGGACCTCCATGGTCTCAGCCAGGGCAGAAATTAAGCCCCATGTTGTTGGTGTCATTGTATCGCAAACCAGCCAAACAGCCAACTGAGCTAACCAAACCCATGAAAGGGTCTAATTTTTCTGTTTCTCTCACAAAAGTAAACTGACCATGTGTTCTGACAGTTTCTGTATGCATTTTTAACTTACATCATCTGCATTACCTTGCTTTTTACTCCTGTTTATGAACTTTATAGCTTCAGGCTCCGATAGCACGTTCAGTGTCATGTTTCAGGGGAGAAGTGGCAGAGTAGCAGTGTTTCTGGACTTGTAATCCAGAACCCCAAGCTAATATTCTGGGAATGTGGATTCAAATCCCAACATGGTAGATAGCGAAATTTGAATTGAATAAAAATCTGGAACTTTAAAAAAAGCTAGCTTAATGGTGACTATATGTAACTACTGCTGGTTGTTCTATAAACTCGTTTGATTCACTTGTATCTTGCAGGAAGGAAAATCTGCCATCCTTACCTGGTCTGGCCTACATGTGATTGCAAATGCTCAGTTGAGTGGAGTTGACTGTCCTCTGGGCAATTAGGCACAGGCAGTAAATGGTAGCCTAGCCAGTATTGCCCACTTAACTAAAGAAAATAAGTTTAACTATTTGATGCTGACACACATTTGAACCATTGTCTTATTCATGAAACACATCAACTGTCAATCAGTGAGCTCTTTTTCCTAAATTTTAGAGTATCCCTCCAAACATAGGTAGCCAGTACAAAAACCGATTGTCCTCATCAGTCTCATAAGCTATAAGTAGTATTCCACCGCATCCTCACATCACCAAGTATAACTCATTCTACCACTCTTTATTTTTAACTTCAGCTGCATATAAAAATGAATAAAATTTGTTAGTCTGCATTTTTTTCTTTGTCATCTACATTAAAATAAAATTTAGAAACAATAGTTAAAAGAAAGGATAATAAATATATTTTCTTTCTTCTTCAGGAAATGATTTATTTAACTTTAAATGAAGTTTAACTTTGAAGACTTAATTTTTAAGGCATGCATCGTTGTGGCTATGGGTTGGAACCGTATGGTACTGTGACATTTCTAACATGGAGCAGCATATTATTAAAGAAAAGCAGGCTGAGGCAGCCAAAATGGCTGCAAATGTATTTGAAGTGGCTGTCTGCAGCGACAGAAATCCATAGAATGTCACAGCTAGGAATAGGAAAGGAACTTCAAACAGTAGCCCTTCAAAGGGGCAAGTCAGTTTATTCTTCCTCACCCAGAAGCTCAGCTAATTAGGGTGTCCAGTTTGGAACCACAACAAGTTGGGGATTCTCACCTGAGATCTGAGTGCAACAGAATATAGTGAATTTTACACTCTTACAAATCGCAGATCAGAAACAGACTATTCTGCCTATGCTACCTATGTGCATGCTACTTTTTCAAATGGAAGTAAATTTCTGATTCAATTTTTGTATTCTGGATATCCTTTGATGTTCTTTTGCAAATAACTGAATTGCAAACTAGATTTCCTTAACAAACTAATGTTATTACCACCATATCTTTTGAATATTTCAGCCAATTGGAATTATGATGAATGTACCTAATTACTTTATCTATATTGTGTCAAATGCTTTGCTATTAAGATTCCTGCTGCTAACACCTCTTTGAACTTAGCACACAATTTAACACCCTATAATTTTATCTGTGAAGTCTGTGATGAGTACATTGACTGGCTTTTGTTATGGTTTATCATTCTGTGGCAGTCATTGTTGTTAGCTTGATAAATAATTTATGGAATTCTAGAGGTATATTAAATATAACACCTTGTCGATATTATGATAATGAATCGAGGGAGATGCATGTCATAGAGATTTATGAAAATAACAGAGAAGCAACAATGTATTACGTACAGTAAGCTTTCTCTTCAGGATCCCTCCGATAAACAGCTTGACATTATACAGTGCAAGATAATGCCTGTCAGTTCCTCACTGATAAAGACCCTGGAATATTCAGTGCATAAGTGTGTTTTACCCATCTCCTGCTGAGTTGAGAATCAAAGGATGAAAATTTTTGATGAACCATTATAATAATTCTCTCCATAGTAATAAATGTCATGCAGTACTCCAGTAAATAATCTTGACATATCAGCATGTCTCACCTGATCTCGACTGTAACCCCCAATCTGAGTCAATTTTACTCTCACCTCTTTCTATATTATTTGATTTCATTATACTTAGAGGAAGCAAACTTCAGAAGGTTTGTGTCTTATTAATAATCTAAGACAGTCTTATTCAGCCACATAATATAATGATCTCTTTTTTTTTCTCATACAATGGATTAATAAAGATTTTATTTTGGAAGTTAATCTCTGCCAGACAGAAAATCCTCTAAAAGATTTTTCTTCAGAACTTGATTTATGATAATGGGAAGGGCAGAAAATACACCAATGTAACTATAACTTTTGAAAGCTCTTTTTGCCTTTCAAGTAGGTAAATATTCACTTAGGGAGGACAAACTAATGAAACATTCCAGAATCCAGCTGTGGAATGAGCCACTCTTGAGGATTACAGCTCCAAGGGAAAGGGAAAATCACAACTTACTACCAATGTCTAATCTTCCACAAAACAAACTTTTAATGTTCTTTCAGTGTTCCATTTACATTTGAGTTATAGCATTATGATAGTGCATTGTTCTTTGTGTCTTTCAAAGAGTCAAATGCAAATCAAGCACTCTCAGAAACTACAGAAGGTGCGTGCACAGCCCAGATCATCACGGAAGACAACGTACCATCCATGGACTCCACTTACACATCTCATTGTGGCGGAAGGGCTGGCAATATCATCAAAGACTTATCCCACCCCAGTAATGCTCTCCTATAACCTCATCCATCAGGCAGAAGATACAGAAGCTTGAGATTATACACCAGCAGGTTCAAGAACAGCTTCTTCCCTGCCATTATTAGGCTGATGAATGGCCTCTCTAAATTCAAATAATGCTGGTCTTGTTAATGTAGATCTTTTCTAAGCACACATCCTGTGCGGTGTAACCTGTATGCTTTACCCAGTCCAAGCTCTTTTATCACCCTATGATCTGCTTTTCCTTGCTTACTATGATCTGCCTGTACTGCTCGCAAAAAAAGCTTTTCACTGTACTTAGGTACACGCGACAATAAATCAAATCACATCATGTTCAAATGAGCCCCTGTCTGGTTTGTATTAAAGTAGAAGTAAGTGCCTGCTGACTACAGTTCAAATTAGCAGTCATCACAGCTTCCCTAGATTTCAGAGTTTAAAGTTAGAGGGACTATTTTCTGACTGACATTGCTCACAGGTGATGTCAGGAGCTCATTTTCCTATGATTGTCCTAATTTTCCAGGATTAAAAGAATAGGTACATGCATGTGTGAGCAGGGAATAGAGCTATTATTACATCAATGGCTCCAATGCAGTGCAAGCAGCCCCCTTGCACAGCCCCGCTGTAGTGACATCGGCACTCCCAGCAATTCTCTTGCCTACCAGAGACAAGTTCAGAGGTGAAGGGGAGCACTTGATTAGTTGGAAGAGTGCAAGGTGGAGGCTCAGCTGCCTTCATAATCCCCTCCACCTAGTATCATAGAATAGAATAATAGAATCCTTACAGTGTGGAAACAGGCCCTTCGGCCCAACAAGTCCACACCGAACCTCAGATCATCCAATCCAGACTTATCTCCCTATAACCCACACATCCCTACATGTAATTTAGCATGGGCAATTCACCTAACCTGCACATCTTTGAGCTGTGGGAGGAAACCTGAGTACCTGGAGAAAACCCACGCAGACACGGGGAGAATGTGCAAACTCCACACAGACAGTCACCCGAGGCTGGAATCGAACCCGGGTTCCTATTGCTGTGAGGCAGCAGTGCTAACCACTGAGCCACCATGCCGCCCTTAATGAGGACAGTGGTAACAGTCCAAGAAATATCAGTACAGGATACAGGCAACAGAAATATGATATAGATTAGAATTTTATTCAGCATGTTTTGGTGCAGGATAAGATACAGGACAGCAACGTTTCATGATGGATAAGATGTAGATCAGTGAGCTCTAGTTCAGGATTAGATATGAATCAGTCAAGTTTTAGTCCAGATTCTAATGCGACCCTTTGTTATTTCTCAACTACACGCAGCAACTGGACATCATGGCCCAGAAGCCATGTAAATGTTTCACACGCATGTTGATAACACCTCAACCTGTTTTTATTGATCTCAGATGATGTCACTACTGGGAAAATCAAATCTCACAATATAACCTGGCCTGATAAATAATGCTTGTTTTGCAGTTTAACATGACAGCCTTTCAGTGAAACAAGCACACAAGGCTACAGATTTGGTTTTAATAATAAAACATGTTTATTATACAAAATAATTTAAAAATAAATAAAACAAACCAAGCTACCTAAATATAATTGCTTGAATCATTTCAAAACTCTTGGCAAATTGAAGTCCAATTGACTTCTCAAGAAATCGCTTTGCAGGTAGTCAAAAATTCATATAAATGGTCCCCCCTGTCCAGTCTGTGAGTTTAATTTAGCTGCTTCTCCTCAGTTCTTGTTCATGAGATGTGAAGCTTTTATTCCTCAAGAACACACCCAACTGAAATCTTAGACTTTCTCAGCTTTGAATAACCAATGCAGATTTCTAACAGAACATTCCCAGTCTGGAGGTTTCACAAAGTAAGCTAACTTACTTCCTAAACAGCTCTAAACAATCTCTTTTCCTCAAGACAGATTATACTTACTTCTTATCTCAGTCAAGTCTTCTTTGAACTGCCCAAAGGCTTTCCACTCTGGGCTTTTGTCAGCTAAAGTCAATCCTTATTTACTATAAACCCCACAGCATGCTATTATCATTTCTTTCTCTCTCTCTCCTCTGTTGTAAACCTCTACAATATGAACAATATTCAATTAGCAATCCAGGGGTTTGTATAGAATATATTGGTTTTAAATCATGGATGCAGAAAGACTGATGCTGTCTTTTTTTTTCAACTCATTCACAAAAATATATCTGTTTAATTCACATAAATAGATCAACACCCATATACCATAGTATTAAAATTCAAAATTTTTACAAAAAGACAGTATATAAAATAACACCTTTCACTATGCTATCTCCAAGGGAGTTGGAAAACTCAGACCATTGTTTTCAGATCCAGCTGTAATTCCCAGGCTACCAACTCCATCACTCTCCCTGCAACTGTCTGAGACTAAATCAGTCTCATTGCATGTCGGTGTCATATCTGATCCCATATTTAATCAGGTTACTGTCTTTCCGAACCATTTCAAGTCATAGCCTCTGCCCCCATTTATTTTTTAGATGTTGGCAAACAATCTGCTATTTCCTGTTTCCATTTTCTCAAGACCCACCTTTTCTTTATTTACTTGTCAGATTACAAATGGACTGCAGCAGTTGAAGAAAGCAGCTCTCATTCACCTTCTCAAGGGGAACTACAGATGGGAAACAAATGGTGACCCAGTTAGCGATGTCTACATCCCATGACTGAATAAAAAATAAATCTATCTGCTTTTGCTTTCTGCCACCATCTCCCTTATCATTTAAATTTCTCCTGTTCCATTTTTTGCATTTCCCATCCAACTTGTATTGTAACTGCTTAAAACAACTTAGTCTCTAACTTTTCCAGTTCCAAGCCGTTGGCCAGAAAAATGTAACACATGCGATTTCCTCAATCATCTCCAACCCAGCTAAGAATTCAGGGGATGGAGAAAGTCCACTGAGGACAAGACTGAATCCTTGCGTCTATTTTGGTGCTTAAAATAGACTTGAGGAAAGACTTATGCCTTTTTGGAACAGAAAGCCCTGATTAAGGCACCCACTAATCACAAGCCAGCAGTTCTGCATAACTTTGTGACAGTAAGGTGTGACATTGGATTGGGATTTAACAGGAGTATTGGGGGCATGGGGTGAAGGTGGAGGGGGAGTGGTCTTATGGTGTGCCAAGTGGTAGGACCTGCAGGGGGTTGGGAGTTTCAGAAAATGTGAGGGTAGGTAACCTGGAAGTGTGTACAATCTTGAGATAGGGAGTGGCGTTCTGGTAGCATGGGATGAGGCCCTGGTGTGTGGGCCTGACGCTTCTCCCTTCATCGGCACAAATGTGTTGGGGTCAGTAGCAAGCAGGTAGGCAGTGGAAGGCTGTCTGCTGGATTTAACAAGCTGCCTCACCTTCACACCTGTTGGCAGGGCATCATAAGATGTAGCCCATTAACTTTGTACCTCTTCCTATTGATGCTGCCTGACCTTGGTAAGGATTTGCAGCATTTTCAATTTTTTAAAAACTAGAATTGCAGCATCTGCAGTCTTTTGGGCTTGAATTGACAACAGATGTGGAGCAAAATCTTCCCTAGAGGAGAGTGACTTCAGTAAACAGAGATAATCATATGAAAGTTTGGCTGGGAAGAAAATATCTAATGCATATGGGCCAGCAACAAACATGCCTAGGTCAAATTTACCTAAAAAATATAACTTGGTTTGGCTGTTAAACTTCCTCAACAACCTCCTCAAGAGGCAATGATTTCCCTTTAAGAATCCATCCTGTAATTCAACTATAACGTTACTGTTACATTTCAACTCTATAGGGAAACTCTTATGGATTCAATATACAACGTATTAGTTCAGAAATTGCAAGGGGAGAAGCCTGGTATTGTAAAGAAGACCTATTTAAAGACATTTGTTTGTTAGATGCAGATTAGTTACTGTAGAGAAGGACATAAGCCCTGATTCTAAATAAGTCTCGCCGAACAGAAACCACACTGCAATTTAATTACTGTACACATCCTGAAACTACAGATTGAGTACAGGCAGGGGAATAGTGGTATGATTTCCAAATAAAGGACCTTATCTTGCTTTGCACAAAGACAAAGATGCAATTAAAGTCTATTTTGGCATTAAAAATAACTCAAGTGTCAGCACAATGATTTCAACTGTAAATGATCAGACAAGACCTACAAAAATAAATTGCAACTTCTCCAAATCCAATATACAAGTGGTACTATTTAATGTGCTTGGTAAGATCTAATAATCTAAACAGTTCCAACAAAGCATAAAGAGATACACTGCAATAAAGTTATGATAACACCTCAAGAACAAATAATAGCATCCTAGTTCTGTGGACTTCATTTAATTTATATTCACAAGTCAGATCCATGAAGAGATTTTCTGAAGGTTAGATTTCACAATTTCAGTTTTGGGAACAGAGCCTTTCTTGCAAAGACTCTTAGTGGGGGACAAATGTACTTTCTTCACCCAGAGAAGGCATTTTCAATTGCTATGCTATCTTATAATCCCCTGAGACATTAAGGAAACTCAAGGGCACACAAGTGCCTTTTGTGTTTGCAGTGCTATCTAATACAGCATATATGGATGTTGATGAAGTCAAAGATACAGCCAAGTCCATTCCTGTAAGGCAAGCTTATTTTCATCAGGGAAAATAACAGCCTGATTGCATTATTACAAATGGCGAGCAAACAAAAGGTGTAAAAAGTCTGGAACACAGAATTACACAATACAGTGTATGGATACAATCCTACAAACTTCGAAGTTTTTCACCAATGATAGATGATATGGTCTCCCAACCCTGAAGGTGACCCAGTCCTCCCAGCCTGCTGATCTTTTTGGAGTTGGGTGATTAAAAGACCCATCTGGGAACACTGCCAATTAGAGACAGTTGGAAGACTCTGTCAGAGCCAACTGGAGCACTTACAGCTCTGGGTAGCTGGGGACACACATAGATGATGTAGGGAGGGGGGAAAGCCATGAGGACATCTCAGGTTTGAGGCATTCTCTGAAAATTTCTTGCATTATTAAAAGTAAGTGGCCACTCCCTCAGATTTTCATTGTGGCCCCAGTAGTTTTATCAAGCTGACTCCAAATGGGGACTTATTCATCATTATGTGGCAACTGTCTGGCAGAAAAGCAGATGCAACCCTGGTCCTGCTTCTGGCATGATCACTCAGTGATAGGAATGCACAAGCAAGATAACCTGATGCACAACTTTCAAAGTTAGCCATCCTTCTGCTTCCAAAGACCACTATGACTGACTGATGAGATTTTGTCTTATATTTTGAAACAATCAGTTAAATTGGCAAAATTAGCTTTCAGCAACGGCAAGAGTCTTAAGCATCCTGTGGATTCCAAAGCACACACATGACAACAGATCATTGAGTGGTCATTATTTAAAATAAAAACTCGATGGTAAGAAAACAGAATACAGCAACTAATTGAAAATATTGCAGAGGTACTTTCTCAACTCCAGCACATTGTAACTGGTATCGATCAACTTCCTTATCAATTA